TTGCCTGGAGAATTACACGGATAGAAGAGCCCGCTTAGCTACAACCCATTGGGTCACAAAGAGTAGGATATGACAGAGTGACTAACACTTTCACTTTTCACAAGTGTATACAAGCTTAATATGAGATAAAAACGTTTTGCCCTTTGATTTTCTCTAAAAAACTAGATCTAAAATGATAATCATTTTTTCTTTGGATGACTGGAAGAATACGAATGAGAAATGGGTGGTTCATTCCCTGGAAATTTCTAAATCTTCTGAACACATATCATAGTTGTAGATGGAGAAGGCAATGACAACCCACTCCAGTACTCTTGCCTGGAAAATCCCATGGATGGAGGAGCCTGGTAGGCAGCAGTCCATAGTGTCACTGAGTCGGACACGACTGAGCAGCTTCCCTTTCACTTTTCACTTTCATGCATTGGAGAAGGAAGTGGCAACCCACTCCAGTGTTCTTGCCTGGAGAATCCCAGGGATGGAGGAGCCTGGTGGGCTGCCATCTATGGCGTCGCACAGAGTCGGACAGACTGAAGCGACTTAGCAGCAGCAGCAGCAGCATAGTTGTAGAAAATAGATGAAACCATTGAAGAACTACAGTACTTCATTTTATATAAGCTAAGTGAAAATGTGCTAAGTCTCCTCATTCATGTCCGACTCTTCGCAACATTATGGACTGTAGCCTGCCAGGCTCCTCTGTCCATGGGATTCTCCAGTCAAGACTACTGGTGTGGGTTGCCATGCCCTTCTCCAGAGGATCTTCCCAACCCAAGGATCGAACCCATGTCTCCTGTGTCTCCTGAATTGCAGGTGGATTCTTTAAACTGAACCACAAGTGAAGTCCCTTATACAAGCTAACTTTCACTCAAATACCAGTATTTCTTGCCTGAAAGCTGTTAATGGCCTCTTGTACCCATCTGTGTATCAGAATAATGGCACCAAAGATCTAATATATTCTGTACTCAGTTCTTCATCAGTGACTGACATAATTGGTATATTACCTTGTCCCACTGATGAGATAGCCCTATCATCTAGCAGCTGTAAGAGTTCTCTTTGGGTTCAGCTCCATTTTTCTCAAAATAACATTTTGAAATTGGATTACTTACCAGCAAGATGACAAGACACATGCAAGATAGAGCGGTTGCAACCAGTGACATTCTGAAGTGTGAACATCACTAATAATTTCAGTACAGTGAATTGGTACAGGAAGGATGTAGAATGAGATAGGCTTTTAATACTCTTTTAGCATTTGAGATATTTTAGACAATGATATTTTTTAATAAAATTTATTGAAAAATGTTATGTACCAGGTACTATGCTAGGTGCTGAGGAACAACAGTGCACTTTGAGTTATTGTTTTAATATAAATGAAAATATTGTTATCAATCATTATTTTTACTAAAAAAGGGACAGTCAAGATTTTCAAGTCAGAGAAATGGAGGGTAGAAAATTAATATCTAGGATTTAGGAAAAATTTATTATAAAGAAGCTGAGACTAACTGACAAAGAAATACAGATCATTGTAACTCTTTATATCTGGGTTTTTAAAATCACAGACTAAAGACATGTTTGGATCATTTACAGAGTATTTAATGGTCAAAAACTGAGGCTGTATATGAGAAGAGTATCTTTATGATTTGTGCATTTAAACCACCATCTATGCCAACAGAATGCTTTCAAAATTACTTGTTTTGGGCCCCCACATCTGTGCCATGCCTAACCAGCCTCAAGCACCACTGAGGGAGGTTTTTCTGCATAAGTGGAGAAGACAGTTGTTGCAACTAGGAGAAGCACAAAATATTTTAAAGATGTCTGAAGATGAAGAAAAAGTAAAATTATGCCTTCTTGAACCAGCTATCCATAAATTTACTAAAATGGTAAGCCCAACAGACCTGGAGATGTTGAGAAAATGCCAGGTAAATACTGAGAAATATTAGATGTGCTGAACATGGGACAAGTTACATGAAGAGCATGTCAATGCAAGATGTACAGTTCAGCAACTCTGCTGCAGTATTGGAGGAATGGAGAAGCTTTGTTTGAAAGTCCAAAAGGATGACCTAGGACTTCGAAAGAAAATGATAGATTCTGTTGAAGACGCATCAGCTGCAACAGCAGGATTTTTCCAATTCCATCTAGAATCTGTAGAAGAACTTAAGAAACAATTTAATGATGAAGAAACTTTATTACAGCCTTCTTTAGATCCATGACTGAGAACATTTCACACTACTGAAAATGAAGCTGATCCTGAGTATGACTCAGATGTATGCGTTGCCTGAAACTCCTCGAGATTAAAATGCTGCAGAATCACGGGAGACCTTAGAAGAGGACTTAGTTGAACTTAGCCAACTGGTCACACTGATTTCTCTCTCCTAGTGAATTCTCAGCAGAAGATTTACAGCACTGAAGACCATGTCAACAGTGCTGCTGTGACTATTGAAGAGAGAACCAAAACCTGGGGGAAGGCTGAAAAATACAAGCTGGTAGCCCTGCCTATGGCAGGTGCACTCATGGGAGGAGTGATGAAGGGTCCATTGGCTTCCTTGATGCTTCAAAGTGTCAGAAATTGCAGCTGCACTTGGTGGTGGGTGTTGCGCTAAACAGGTGGAAAAGTGATACAAAAAAAAACAAAAAACAGAAAATGACGGGGAAGCTCACTTCCAGCTGTCCAGCTCTCCCCAGCCCAACTGACCCAAAAAATGCAGTTAAAGACCAAACTTTACTAATTATTGGCACCAGCATGTCTATCCTAATGAGGACCTCTGCTGCCGTTGGACACTCAGTTGGCTTTCAGAACATGATTATATCGAAACAGTGGCTACAGATACTCAAGTGGGATTGAACTGTGATAAGGGGATATTATTTTGTTCTTTGCTGGGTATTAATGGAGTTGTGAGAGACTTAGGAGCCTGGCCTGAGGCTGACAATATTTGTCAGGTAAAGTTTAAGGGCTGGCAGGGAGCAGAATTTCTACCTGGAAATATGAAAACTGAACCCATAACTTTGATAAGGACTTGTGATGTGTGGACATGTTGAGTTACCGAAGGATAGTTTTCGGAATAGTTTCTTCCATGACCCTGACTTGGAGACTCCAAGGTTAAGCATATTATAAATATGTTTCTTTTTCTCCTAAATGTAGATTATTTAGGCATTTTAGCAGAGAAAAGAATTGAAGTTTAAGAGCTTTTCATATCAAATAGGAAAAACAGGATCTAGCAAGGAGCATGAGTGAACTGCATGATGAAATCCATTTGGCGAGCCCTATTGCATTTTTGCCTAACAATATTATACAGCAAAAGAAATAAATAGTGTAAGAAAATGGGGGGAAAATTACTTGTTTTTTATAGGAGACAATTTGGCTCCTGTGAAATCTGTAACTTATAGTAACAATGATGGGTTGTACTTCATGTTCAAGTAAGAATTTTGAAATGCTGCTGCTGCTGCTACTAAGTCACTTTTGTCATGTCCGACTCTATGCGACCCCATAGACAGCAGCCCACCAGGCTCCCCCATCCCTGGGGTTCCCCAGGCAAGAACACTGGAGTGGGTTGCCATTTTCTTCTCCAATGCATGAAAGTGAAAAGTGAAAGGGAAGCTGCTCAGTCGTGTCCGACTCAGCGACCCCATGGACTGCAGCCTACCACGCTCCTCCATCCATGGGATTTTCCAGGCAAGAGTACTGGGGTGAGTTGCCATTGCCTTCTCCAATTTTGAAATGACTTCTTCATTTATATCTAATTAAGATATTTTACAGGTTCCTTCAAATAGTGAAAAGGTAATGTGATCTGGCTGTTATGTTGAAATTTGCAGATTATTATTAGCATTAGCATTTTAAAAATCTCTTTTTATAAATGATTTTACATGAAAGTTCAGTGGCTATTTTAATTTCCTACCATTCTGAGAAAAAGATTTGGGGTAGAAAAATCTGATACGTTTCTGTCACTCTTCTATTCTTTCTGTGAATGATTAGCTTCTAAGTTTTGGTGAATTCTTTTGTCATAGGTAGATTTATCATCACACTATGGCACAGAAATAAGAGCATAATGGTTATACACTGTAACAGATATGGAACCATGAGTAGATCAGTGTACAATTAAATAAAAATTTAAATAACAAATAATCTATAATATTTAAATTAAATTCAAATCATGTTTATATTATTTTATTAAGACAATACATATGCATTAATTGTAAAAAATATTGATACTTTTAAAAGTATGTTTTTTTCTTTTTAAGGTTTTGCAGTAAAGTTGAGGAACTGCCTAAACCAGAGACATCCAATCCTTGCATTGTTTGAGTTTAAATCATTTGCTTGTACATGAATTTGATTTTTAAAACACTAGAGGCACAGGAAAATAGAATAATCACATATTTATCACTCATTTCTGTCACTGTGTGTGTGTGTTATGAATGTATGTATAATTTTTTAGATCTATATGAATCACTATTAGCTGAACCTGGTGAGAGATAGAAAAGTAACATGTGCTCTCCTAATTCCTTCCTTATGGGAGATTTAGTCACTAAGTTGTGTACAATTCTTATGACCCCATGGACTGTAGCCAGCTAGGCTCTTCTATCTACGGGATTCTCCAGGCAGGAACACTGGAATGGGTTGTCATTTCCTTCTCCAGGGGATCTTCCCAACCGAGGAACTGAACCCAGGTCTCCTGCATTGCAGGCAGATTTTTTACCAAGTGAGCTACAAGGGAAGCCTCCGCAAAAAAGTCACTCAATCATGTCCAGTTCTTTGCAACCCCATGGACTATACAGTTCATGGAATTCTCCAGGCCAGAATACTGGCGTGGGTACCTTTCCCTTCTCCAGGGGATCTTCCCAACCCAGGGATTGAACCCAGGTCTCCCACATTTCAGGCGGATTCTTTACCAGTTGAGCCACAAAGGAAGCCCTTCCTTATGTGAGCATATTCATTTGGAAGTAATTACATGATAAAATAATTTTAAAGCCAGACATGAAGGTATCTTTGTTGTAAAGATATCATTTTTGAGATTTTAAAGATTTGTTAGCATAATCACATATTTATAGACACCATCTCTCAGGGAATCTTTCACTTTCTCATTTCGAAGACTGTAGATGAAAGGATTCAACATTGGTGTCACAATGGTATTCAGCACTGTGGCAAATTTGTTAACATCCATCACATTACCCTTTTGTGGGCGGACATAGATGAAGATGGAGCTTCCATAGTAAAGTGTTACTACGGTGATATGTGAAACACAGGTGGAGAAAGCTTTCTGCCGTCCCTGGACAGAGGGAATTCTAAAGATAGTAATAATAATATATGTGTAAGACACTCCTGTCAGGAGCAAGGAACCCAAGAGTAACACAGCAGAGGAGACAAAGTCAGCCAGCTCAGCCAGAGAGATATCTGCACAGACCAACTTTAGCACAGGAGCACTGTCACAGAAGAAGTGATTAATTACATTTGGCCCACAAAAAGGCAGAGAGGCAGTTAATATTGATGAGGCCAAAATTGACAAAAATGCACCTACATAAGATCCCAGAAGCAATGATATGCATGTTTCTTTGTTCATGATGATGGCATACCTCAGTGGGTGGCAAATGGCAACATATCGATCAAAGGACATAACAGCCAAGATGAAGAATTCTGTGGATCCCAAGAGAAAGTAGAAGAAAGACTGTGTAAGACATCCCACAAAGGATATTGCTTTGGTGAGGGAAAATGTGTTTGCTAACATCTTAGGCACCACTGTGGAGGTAATTGCAATCTCAAGGAAAGAAAGATTGGCTACAAAGAAGTACATGGGTGAGTGCAGACGGTAGTCACCACACACCAAAAGGATAATCATGGTGTTGCCAATCAGAGATGTCATGTACATAAGCAGGAATGCAGAAAAAAGAAGAATTTCTACTTCTTTCCTGTTCTGAAATCCTAGAAGAATGAACTCAGTGACAATGGTCTTGTTTCTTTGATCCATAATTTCTCATTTCCACCTGGGATAATAAAAAAAGAAGTTTATGATTGGTCTTTGTATCTAAATCTTGGAAATAATCCACATATAGATTTTAACTGTATTTTCTTTTTATGGAAGAAAAACAATAAAAACAAATAATTATTTTTCCAGTGTATAAACAGCTCCTGAGATATACTGTGCCAGATGCAAGAGTTCAAGTGTGAAGTTCACTCATAATAGCTGAATTAGTTCCACAATAAGATTGTGATAAATATCCTATTTAAAGACCTGTGAGTTTCCCCTCAGTGTAGAGAAACTAACAGTGAATTTAGTTCTTTACAAGTCTTGTGAACAGATGTATAGAGTGTCCTTTGAGATAAACACATCACAGTGTCCTTAATCCATTCAGATGTAAAGCATTTTAGAGTGCTGGAAAAGTTGCAATAAAGTCTAATTCTATATTATTTACATATGTACAAAAGGTCTTTTAAAGCTAGCTTATCACTGAGAAGAAAAAGTGCTAAAATAAACAACTAAACATGATTACAGAATACGTTCATTACTTTTGACTTACAAGTCCCAGCCACTGTATTGTTAGATCGTCCACTATAAAGTCAACTTTACGTAATTTCCATGTAGAATCACATTTTATAGCAAATGAGATATTCACAGGTATTTCAAGAGTAAGGGAAAAGTTTAAATAAATGACTTGTCAATATTGATTATATTTTTCTTAGAATTCAGAGAGACAGAGCCAAGAGGGAGCAGAAAAATGAAACTTTTGAATTTTGAATATTCCTAAGAGAAGTAGTGAAAGCATAATTTTGTATTCTTCATACTGGAAAACAAGGGCCAAAAGCACAGAGAAAATAGGACACTTGTTGGAGAGAAGGTGATTTTGCTGGATGGCTATGACGATATTTTGGATAGGCAAAAATAAAGGTTTGGATTGGGGCTAATTTCAAATTTCAAATTATAAAACACATAAAAATTTATATCGATAGGTTATGAAAGAGCTATTTTTATATAAGTGGGAATTTTTGTTGCTACTTTTCAATAGACGTGATGGACGAGCATGACAGAAGTGAACTAATATTTACATAAGAGGATTAGAAATAAGACAATACCTCGTGTCTTTTAACCATTTTTTTTTCTGATCCTAAAAGTTCATTAGCTTATTCTTTTATTCACTTTTATTATTATATATTTACTGCATAATGAGGAAACAGATAAATATATGATTCATGCATGTTACACTTTTTATGAGTAAGAGGAATAAGTTGGACCAAAATTAAAGTTAAAGCACTATGATTCTTAACAATGACCACTCTTAACACAGTAACACAAATTCAGTATTTAAATAAATATGAACTAAATTTGTCAATACAGTGGCTTGGTATGAAACACTGCAACCAGTTTACTTTCCTATAATCTTGCAAAGAAAAAGAAATATTGATGGATTAGATGAATAAGGAAAAAGTAATTGCAGAGTATATTACTTGAAAGAAGCTTTCTTGTCATCTCATAAATGGTTGGTTTGAATATGAACAATTGATGGGAATCTCAAAGGCTATAGTGATGCAGGGCAGAAGCTAAAGATTAAGGTATTGTTGTTGCTCAGTCACTAAGTCATGATTGACTCTTTGCAACCCCATGGACAGCAGCATGCCAGGTTTTCCTGTCCTTCACCATCTCCTGGAGTTTGCTCAAACTCAATTGGAAACAATAAAGATTTATTCAATCAATTCCAAAATTTTGCTTTAAGCTTGTCTAAACAAAAAGAAGAGATAAAACAGGAGGAAATGATAGTTTTGGGGAAAACAAACAAAGAATACAAAAGCAATGTGAGCAAAGAGTATGAATTAAAAAAAGAATATTGTAAATTCTGTCCTTACCTGCTGAAGCATACCTCAAAATTGTTATGAATGTTCAAGTACATGGTTTCCAGGTATTCCTTCTCTGTAACTTCATGATTTGGGTTTTGCCTATGATTGGAATCATACTTAAAGTTTACTTCCTTCTTCTGACAGCCTCAGAAAGTTAAGAAACAAAGTCTGGTGACTGCAACAGTATTGATATGTGAATTTTTAAAGACTTTGTTGGGGAATGAATGATTCACAACGATGAAGTGCCATTATATATCTGTAGATTATTAGAACTTGGAAAAGGAAGGGAAGCCCGAGTTTATTATTTCTGCTTCCCTAAGGCCAGGGTTTCTAGCAGCACAATAGCCTCCAGAGAATATTTTTAAAAATCCAATTAAAAGGAAAGTAAAAGTGCCCCAAATTAGAAAAGTGAGAACTTATAAACACAATTTCTATAAGAAACACATTAAACCCAGCAAAACCATTAGAGATGCTTTGCTCAAGACTGAGTCTTTTAACTACTATAGAATGTCATGTACAGGCATCAGGTCATGAGAAGGATCTTGATATTTATCATTATCCGTAGCAACAGCGGCATAATCACCAACTACATTTATTGAATGCTATGTCCTGGAAACTCTTCCAAAAATTGTGCTTATATCTTTTTGAAGTTTATAAAAACTACATGACATACACTGTATTGTTACATTGACTTATGCCCTTTCACATGATTAATAAATAAATGATATAAAAAATCAGTCAAATTTCACAAAATTAATAAAAATTTATCAAAATATAAATTGTGTCTAATATTAAAATTATTAAAAATGAATGGGCACATGGGCTTCAGTAGTTGTGGTGTGTGGGCTCAGTTGCCTCATGGCATGTGAAATCTTCCTGGACCAGGATGGACCCCAGGTTCCCTGCATTGGTAGGTTTATTCATTCAACTGGAACACCAGTTGAATTAAGTCCCTATATACTGGCTTTAAGCAACTGAAGACCTTCACCACTCATCACACCTGAAGTTTCTAGAACCTCAGAAACCTTTTCTGACCTCTCATTCTACTTAGCATTTGTTTCTAGAACTACAGGTAGCTATAAATTGCTGTGGTATTTACCTCTATTTTCAGTGGCTTCCAAACTCTGCCACCGGGCCCATGAGCACACTGAGGGAGGCTGCACAGAAACCAGTTTCTTGGGCTGCCTCCAGACAAGCAAAACATTGAACATACATTCCCCTGTTTATTTCAGTCCAGAAGAAGGAATCTTGATATACAAGGTTCCTCCCAGTTTCACTGCTTTCCTTGGGTAGAGGAATATCATAAATAAGCATGCAAATGCTTTGAATTTTCCTACCACTTTTGCTTGAATCCTTCCATGATTTTACATTATCCTGTGTGCTGTAGCTTCTCAGCTGGTCTCTAGAGTTCTCAAAGTTTCTCTAGCCCCTATATTGTTTTTAACTTTCTGTCTTTGTGGGGGAAAGATATTTTTGGCCTTCCATTTTGCTAACATCTCTCTATATATCAAGTTTAAATCAACCTTAATTTTTCTTTCTTCTCTTATTTCATAAGTTTACCTTTCTAGTCTTCCATGGTATAATTTTGAGCTTCAACTGAGATAAGACAAATTACTGAATTGTCAAATTACACTTAGAAAGCTCAGAGATCTCATTTAGTACCAAGTTTATGTATAATTTCAAACACAAAAACATCTGAGTGTTTTTGACCTCTGAGTCTCCTGGTGAACTCTAAGCTCTTCAATGAAGTTTTTCAGAGAAGTACTGTACATATCAGAACATCCTTCCAACTCAATTTAATATATGGTACTTCTGTATAATATGTGTAATCACACCACATGTATTGAATACAAAGGTTTGGTTAAAGAAACATGCCCTGTATAAACATATCATTTTTAATTTGCATGACATTTACCAGGAAGTTCTAGTCAATAAATACATAAAGTGCTATATGCTATAAGGAATCCTAGACAGCCAGGTACATCCTGCCAAATGTATTCTATAAATAAAGACTTCCCTGCTCACAAATTACTTTTCCCCAAAAGGTGTACTATACACTTAACAGCTGCAACATTAAGAGAGGTTCCATTTGTACCTATTATGGTTTTATTGTGAATAATTTTGACTTCTATTATTTTCATACATTTATTTAGTTGATCATATGATTTCTCTCATTTATTCATGTAAATAATAAATTGATTGATTTTTTGAAGACTTAAATAAACTTTCCTTGAATATGTATCAATAATTTATGATATATTAGCCTTTCAATAGAGAGCATGGTCATATTTGCTTATATTTTGAACTCTTTTATCTATATTTATGAAAAATATTGTTCTTTGGCTGTTGATTTTGTAATGTTCTTCTCAGTTATCACTTTAGTTCAGTCGTTCAGTCCTGTCTGACTCTTTGTGACCTCATGGACTGCAGCAAGCCAGGCTTCCCTATCCATTACCAACTCCTGAAGCTTGCTCAAACTCATATCCATTGAGTTGGTGATTCCATTCAACCGTCTCATCCCCTGTCATCCCCTTCTCTTCCTGCCTTCTCAGTTAAAGTTATACTTTCTTATTATAGTAATACTATAATATAATTTCATAATTTTATAATAATTTCAACACTATTATAGGTATTTTTGAGCTCATAAAATGGGTGGATAGAATTCTTTTACCTCTATTTCCTGAAATAATTTGTGTAAGGGAAATAAACCTTAATAATATTTACAAAATTTCACTTATGAAGCCATGTGGATCCATAAGTTCTTCTGCAGATTTTTTGTAGGTCAAAGTAATGTTTTCTATTGTATCATTATTATGACCTTTAGCCAAAAAAATGTCAATTTTCCAGTTGGTGCTAGTGGTAAAAAACCTGTCTGTCAATGCATGAGACATAAGAGACGTGGGTTTGAGTCCTGGGTCAGGAAGATCCCCTGGAGGAGAGCATGGCAACCCACTCCAGGATTCTTGCAAAGAGTCAGACACAACTAAGCGACTTAGCACATGGCACATGTTAATTTCATCAGTTATCATTAAAATGACATAAAGTTTATGCTGTATCATGCTACCTTTTCAATATTTGTGGCATTTGTAGTGATGCTGCATCTAGTTTTAGAAACCCTGGTGTTTTCGCTCACTTTAA